AGAGGACAAGGCCTTCCTATTCACATTCTTAGTGGGCAGCAAGGGTCTCTACAAAACTAAGAGACACTGGGGCCTACCCTACTCATTTTCGAAAGTCAGGACAGGATCTTCCCCCATTCATAATCCCATATTATAATGATAATCTTCCTGGGAGATCCTGTCCAATTCTCTAACGGTCAGTCAGAAATTTAGAATCTATTTCATATTGGAGTCTATTTAGTAAATCAGCACTACTTAAAGTTACAGACTTTTTTCTTCCAAAGTGATACACACTCTACATTTTAACTTCATTATTATTGTTTTCCCAGTTGGGGGTAGGAGGGAGGGTTAGATAGAGAGGGAGACAGAGAGAGAGCGAGCAGTTTCAGGAAAATATCGGTTCTTGTATTTACGTTTTAAGAAAGTAAAGGGGAGGCAAGAGAACTGAACTTTCTGTTTAGAATCCCTTCCTCTCCATTGGGTCTTAGCTAGGTTTCAATAATTATTGCTCAGGCACATCGTCTTGAGCTTTGCTTTTTCTCAGACTTGTACACAGTTCTAGGAAGGGTTGTTGCCAAAGCCATCATGTGATTTATTGACCCTCCACTGGGACAAGGGGGAACAGATATAACTTTGTGATTTTATTATAAGGAGGCTGGGTTAATATTTCTAGGTGAAACAAGCTACTATACCAAGTTCAAACATCTGAAGAGGGAGGTTAAGAAACCCTGAGTGTGGGGTGTAAGGATTATTCTGTCCTGGGGCTGTACAGACGTCGTCTGAGGCAGGGAGCAGGAGAAGAAAGGACACATTGTGACCCATTTCCAACACCTCCTGTGTGTAGAGGCGGAAGTTCCTTGCCTGCAGAGGGACACGCGCGGAGGAAAAATAGGAGAGTTACAACATGGCACTTACATAAACAACACCAAACTGGCATAAAACATCTAACAAAATTACACGACTTCAAGCTTGGAATTTTTATACAACATAAATATTAGGGTTCAGCCCATTTAATAATGCTATATAAAATCAAGATTTAAGGCAGTTATGTTCCACATAAACTCTGAAAACAACATTTATGCTTCTTATAAAAGCAGAAAATGATTGCATTCTGTGGGCTTTTCAAAATGATGAATATAATTACATGAAGCAACAAAAATGGATTGAATTAAAAATCCACTAGTTTCAATTTAAGTTGGTTAAGGGGGAAAAATGTAGTTTCTGGCCAAAGACTGAGAAAATTTTACAAGTATCCAAGAAAAAAATAGTTGTATGCACTGTTAGGCAGTTAGGCAGCCTTTTCCCCAACATGTATATGTAGCCCAAGAGTCACCAATGAAATATGAGCCGCTTCAAACCTGCTAAGTCCAAGAAACCCTTTAATAGTATCTACTGTCACAAGTAGAGCTGGTATTTTTTTTTTTTTTCTCCTTGTAAGCATACGGCCACCCCTGGAATAAACCCCAGTTGCTACTCTAGTGTCTTTATGACATCTTGTGCAATTTATTTTCCATCAGTGTTGGCTGTTTTGAACTAGCCTTATAGTATTGACTTAAAATCAGAGTCGAACCCAAGTGGAAGGTCACTCTTGGAATCTTTAGTTTATTCCCCTGCCTCATGAGTCAGAGGCCAGCTAATGATTCTCACTCTTATTTAGAGCCAGTCGCTCCTGTAATGGTCTTCCTACTTACAGTCTAAACTTGGTTCATTATTGTGTGTGTGTGTGTGTGTGTGTGTGTGTGTATGTGTGTGTGTTTTCTGGGAAGAGGGAATGGTGAATATAAGCAAAAAACCAAAACAAAATCTTTACCCTAATGTTACATAATGTTAACTTACTAGATGGAGCCGAACAAACTTAATATTCTATGTCAACAGTTTTTCTTGGCATTGCTTATCAGTGGAGGTTAGATTTGCACATTTTTAAGATAAGATAATACTTTTAAAGGCAAATTGTCTGTGTGTAGAAAGATAGTATTGCACAGCCTTGGTTAGTGCTGTAGGTTATACTACTGTTTTTCTTTTGTTCTTAGAGAAATCATTTGCACCTCTAAATACATTCTTATTGAGTCTCTTTGCTTCATGTTGTCCTGAAACTCCCTGAGCTTTACTGTGTTTTAAGGTAGATTAGCTAATGATTTTTCCTTGCTTGACCAGACAACAGTCCAGTGGAGAATGGAAAACTTAAAAGAAACCTCAACACAGAGGAGCTAGAGAAAAGAATCAGAAGTGTAGCCTGTGTGTACTAGTAGGCATTAAATTCAAAATGTGCATGTGTATGCAAAGTGGTATTTAAATAAATGAAAGTATGTAAATACACACTATACACACACACACACACACACACACACACACACACACACACACACACACACACACACACACACACACACACACACACACACACACACACACACCCCTTTTGAGAAAGTTTTATACTACAGTTTAGTTTCCATGAGCCATAAAAAGAAGATAAAAATGGTAATGTCTAGTACCTGGTGTAGAGGTATATTGATCTGCTTAAGGAGAGCTTTCACTGCCATCTGGAGCTCGTAGAAGAACAATTGCATGGGGCAGTCAGAAGTATGATCCACACTTTCCATAGATTCAGAGCCAGAAAGCTTTTGGATCCATTCCCACTCCTCTCTGTATGTTGAGTCAAGTTAAAATTAGAAATATAACAAAAGTTCAGAACGTAGCTCAGAACTTTTTTTAGTGTATATGTCCAGAACCTGGATAACAAATTCTTGGTTGTTAAAATTCAATGCAATTCATGAAATTTGAACATTTTGCCACCTAGCTGGAGTTTCAAATGAACTTCTAATTTAAGCTGAATTCACCTACCAAGTCACATACACCTAAGAACAGTAGATCTAATTTGTATGACTCCTGTTTTTTAGATTGGAGCTTTCAAATGTTTTGTAGTAATTTCCTGACTGTCCTAATTTTTCTTTCCCACAGATCCTCTGTAAGTTCTAAGACCCTTCATTTACCACAGGGGCATCTGCTGCTTAATTCTGCAGTTGGGTAACCACAGGACTCTGATCCAACTCAGGCAACAAACCACATGGCACATTTCAACTCTGGCCTGTTGTAATCGTGGGGACTATTTTGGTTTCTTTCTCCTTCCAAACGCTTGAGGAGAATCACTAACAGGAACACCAGACAATTCCAATAAAAGGAACCAGGGGACACACATCACTGCTTCCATCCTCCTCACAAACCAGTCATCTGTGTCTTTATTCTGCATGCTCTATAATCCTTCCTAATGAACTTTTTCAAATGTCACGCAAAAGAGAAGGGAAAAGAATGGTGGTGGGAGGAAAACACATCTGGTTTGTCCCCCCAAGGTTGCTCTTCAAAGGGAATTTGAAAAGATCAAGGTAAATGCCTCTTGGGCAACATTGTTTCCACAGGTATTTTAGCACAAGTCTCTAAACACATTCAGTTGGCCCAGTTTCTCCTTCAAACTCTGCAGGCAGCAGTAATATGCTCTCAAGAGCAGGCTAGGGAAGAAAGGAAAGCCCTCCTCTCCAGGGATGGAAAGAGAGGAGGTGCTGACATATGTTCCCACCCTTGTGAAAACCTTTTGAGGGCTCTCCCCAAAGAATTATACCAGTTTGGGCTCCTGTCTGTGGTTCAGAACACCAAATTGATTGTGGCATGAGCTTTTCATCAAAAAACACTCTCTTTTAACTAACTACCCTCTTAGAAAAGTTTCTGTTTTCAAGATACCTGTTTCATTTCTAGTCTCACACTGGACAAAAATATGGAAAATTTATCCTTTGCCCCAATAAAAGAAAATAAATCAGAAATAAATCCTACTTAAGTTTGGGCGTACTGTTGGCTTCACAAATAATTGAACTCTTTAAGAACCTGTCTGGGCACTATTTCTTTCCCCCATCACTGATATTGAACTAGATGATGACTAGTATCAGTATACACAGACTAAAGAACTGCATTAGTAAAATATAGTCTATAATCAAATAAAAAATAAATTACCAGTAGGAATACCATCAAATACCACTAAGTAGTTTAGGGTATAATGATGAGGAAGATGGAACTGGCAGACTGAAGGCTATTGGAACCTTTTATACGAATGAAACTTGGATCCTTGAAAAGGGGAAATTAGTTAGTATAACCAGTAATAGATAGAGTCTAAGTCTTTAAGACACACATCTAGAACATTGATGAAAATAACTGTTGCTAAGTGAACTCATAAATGCGCCATATAACCTCTTGGGAAGGAGTGAGGAGATGACTAATGTTGATTGTAGAAGTGACCACCAGATGGCAGACTTAAAGTCCTGCTGTAGATGCTATGTGAAAAGAGAGAATATGGTAGTCATTGAAGTTCTCGAAGACCACCATCATCATCTTCTTCCTCATTGTCACCAAGTAAAACTTATTTAATAAACCTTGTGAGAAATGATAGTTAACAGACACTTGCCCCTATAACATTTTTAAATGATTGAATTAGAATTTCCTTTGGTTATGCAAATCTATAGGATAACTCGAACCTAAGGATCTAATTTGTATTCTTGGAAGCCTGAAAAGCTCTGAAGAATTATTTTTCTTTTATTATCTATTTCTTTCTTTCCATTTTTTCTTTCACATTGAGTACAATTCAGTTCATTATAGTAGTCTTTCAGACGCCTATTAGGAGGGTTAGTTGTAAAGTTGAGCCAGATTACCAAGATTGGGCAACTTTCCCAAAGCTAACAGGGTAATTCACCAAATGCCAAACCATAGAGTAAGTTTCCAGAAGCTCAAGCCTTGTTACTTCTTTTATTCCCTAGAGAACCATGAGGAGTGGAGGAAACACGTTAAGTTTCTCAGGCCAGAGAACTAGGAGTAGGGAGGATGAAGGTGGGGGTAGGGTCCTTTAAGATCAGGGGAAATCAGCAGTTCTATCAAAACCCATTTCCATAGGTGAAATTAAAAGAAAAAAGAACAAAAAGGGTATGATTTTTCTTAGTCTGTGAAGAAAAGATGGTAGAAATAGTCATGTAGGAAGGAAAGGTCATTTGTTCACTAACCAGTTGAGCATTAGTGGCAGCACTAAAAATATTGCAGAGAGGACAGTTAAAGAGTAGTGCCCCCTTTTAATGGACTCACTTCTACCACCTACAAACATTGCAAGCCTTCCTTAAGCTAGAGCTTAAATTCAGCTCTGCACTGCTCCAGTGGTTGGCTCTTGAGTACATGTCACCATGGAAATTACCCTGGGAAGTAAACATTTCACTTGCCTTCTGGCACATCAGATCGATTACCTGGGCCATTCTTCCATCACAAGGAAAAACTCAACTCCTGATAACTTACTTGGAAATATTATTGTTTTCACGGATCTTCGTGTGGCAGAGCATGTTGGGCAACTTTTGCATAACAAGAACTTTGATCTGATCCACAGAGCTACATAGCTTTAAGTAACCCAAATATAATCCAGGAGATAGACGCTGATGACTCCTTTTGTGATAAGAAAGAATATCCTGTAGAGTGAAAAAAAAGCAAACAAACAAAAAATAAAAACACACCCCAAACACAAATCTCTAAAGGCAATCTCAAATCCTTTTCCTCTCTAAGGTGGGCCTGTCATGAATGAAAGGAGCTGTGACTAAATAATTGGGTGAGAAACCTCAGATACCACTGTGGATGCTGGGCAAATGTTGGCTGTACGGTTAATCTTACCTGCAGGAGAATGCTTCTCCAAGTCAGGTAGTCAGTCTTTAATAACTCTGCATGTTTATTTTCCTTAGTTTTCTGTGCCAAGGGTAGGTGTGTGGTTTGTGATTAGGAATATACTGGTGGTGGTGGAGGTAGATAATAAAGAAAAATAGAATTCTTAATTTCTGTCCTTGGAGGGCTTATTTTAGGTGGGAGAAAACAGACATTTACAAGTGTAAAAGCTGACTAGCAGTTGTGGAAGGCTTTATGATTTCAGGATAATTAAAATGGAAAAGTCTATTTGAACAAAACCATTTCAAATAGAATAAAACTTCATAGTAAGTTGGAAAACAAAGGTTTTATTCATTCTTTATCTTGAAAATTGAAACAAAAAAATAGTGCCCAGAGATTTGTCTTATATTAACATTTGAGTTGTAGCTATGTACTAATTCTGAGACTGAGGAGAAATAATTTAAAAACTGACTTGGTTTCTGTACCTTTCCTCATCCCCCATCTTTAAAAATTTTGATATTTAAGACATACTAGTAAATTCCTTGTTTATCCTATGCTCTTTAATAGTCAGCTGTTTTATCACTTCTATATTCTCAATTATCAATGACTTTGCATATGATTCAATTCAGTCTCTAACACGATCTTCATCAGTTTCATAAAACTATCCTTTAAAGACTTCAAATTTTGCCTTGCAGTTGCATCATCTGCATTGCATCATCACAACATGATATTCCACATGCAACAGAGACTGTATGAAGTTGTTGATGCAATAGGAAGTGCCAATCAGCTTAGAGAGGCACATTTGAATGGAATCTTATTTTATATGTGGCCAGTAACTTAGTGAATTAGTTGAATTATGATTTTTCCTTCCCTATACAGCTGCAAGGACTCAGAGAATGGATGATTGGAAAAATATATAGACATTCCCTTCCTGTAGCAGTAGGTTTTTTTTTTTTTTTTTTTTTTTTTTTTAATCACTGGTGCAGTAGTGTGGTACACAAAGTTTGGAGTGATGAGTGAGGTGAGGTAACTGATTCTAAAGCACATTCCTAATTGGCTAGAGTTTAGCTTGGTTTTCAAACAGGGAAAAATAAGGGAATAAATTCCGCATCCTTACCACAAAGAAAATGCTAAGTAAGGTGATGGATATATCATTAACATGATTTAATCATTCTACATTTTATACTTTTATCAAAACATCAACGTGTAGCTCCATAATTGTATACAGTTATGAGTTATCAATTAAAAAATACTACAATAAATAAAGGGAATTCAAAAAAGTGAAGTAAAGGGCACCAACCTTACACTATTTATAGGGGAAGTAAGAGGTAGCAAACAAATTAAACTTATAATAAATTCTATATGGAACAAAATAGTATGAGGTTTTCCTTGAGTACCGTACTGTATTCTTTTTTTTTTTTTTAAGAGGTTTTTGCTATAGGGCACGTGCGCTCACCAGACAGACAGAGAAAGACAGAGAGTGAGAAATCACCTCCCAGGGGGGATGGCCACGCTGCAATCCCCTCTCTTCCATTCTCCTCTCGGGATCTTGGGCACGCACGCACACATGCCCGGCGTGAGTTTAAGCCGTGGGGTCCAGGAGTCGAATCACAGTCGACTACATGGGAGTCCAGAGACATAGCCATTATGCTAACTGCTGGTCCCTAGTACTGTACTGTATTCTGAAGGAGGGATCTCTGCAGAATTAACCATATCTAATATGTCCCATTGTGTAGTACCCACTCTGTCCCATCCTTCCTTAAGCACATACTGAGTTCCTCTGTTGTGTCAGGAATGATGAGAGACATTGGGGCTTCAGGTGAACATGATGTGATCCCAATTCTTCTTTTTCTTTCTTTTTTGAGTTTGCGTAATTCGTGGTACATGCATACAAGCAGAAGACAGAGAGAGAGAGAGAGAGAAAGAGAGAGAGAGAAAAGCACCCTCAACAGGGTCTTATCATGCCACGATCTCCTTTCCTTGGCCCTCCAGTTTGTCAGGATCTTGGGCATGCAACCAGTGTGTTTGCAAGCTGACCTGGAGGTCTGAACTGGCATTTGGCCATAGTACTGCAGTTCAGTTTGCTACTGACTGCATCACCAGATTGGGTCATGACTTTAATTCTTGAGGAGGCTGAGAAAGACAGATGAATAAACAGATGACCACAATATACTGAAAGCAGTTTTATAATAGAGGCAATGTGAACATGCAGTAGGAGATACGCTTACATTTTTCTTTTTTTTTTTTCTGTTCTCTTTCTGAACTAGACTATGAAATTAATGGTAGGACTTTTTTTTTTCTCAAAATTGCTTTGTGTTCCATTGCATTTGTGTTCCCAGTACCATTTCTGTATAAAATAGGTACAAAACATGTAGAAATCAGGCCATAGACCCAAAACAGAACATGTGGGACTAGCAGAAAAGGGACAGAATATGAATGGTAAGAAGATATAAATGGGAAGAAGATATAACTAGCATGTACAGAAAAGCAAAGCCTAAACAACATTTAAGACACATTTGGCAAAAATAAGCCTAGAAAAAAACTTGATCTCATGATTGGGAAGGGAAGAATTATTATTAATATTGGTGACAGGTGAAGCTGAACTTTTTAATGTCTTCTATTCTGTTTCTTCAGAATGTACTGCGGGTAAGTAGTTGACTAGAAGGACTTCTGTCAAGGTGGAATTTTGGGAAATGACAAGCTAATCAAAGGGAGAGAAGTGGTTAATTAAGGAAAGAAAAATGGAAGCATTCAGATCTGCAGAATTGAATGATATGTACCTGGTGTGTGGGGTGGGTACTTGCCAAACAAGCAGATGTGGCTACAGACCCATGGGTCATTATTTTTGAGAAGTCAGGAGAACTAAAAAGCCTCTAAAGACTAGAAAAGGACAAATATGCCTGTCTTTGAAACAAGAAGGGGAGAAACACAGGATGACCCTAGTAATTAAGAACTACTGACTTATTGATCTTTATGAAAAATGAGAAAGAACCATCAAACAATCAATGTGCAGTTACCCAGGAATCCTGAGGCATTAGAGGAGTCAGCATGGTTTTCTGAAAAGACAATTTAAATTTCGAACAGCAATAGAACAGGATCCAAAGACCAGAGGGAAGTCTCCAGCGTAATCTGTTCTACAAGGAAACCTGGGAAAAGTATAATCTTGATCATGTTCCTGTAGCAAGATGAACATCTGGGTTAAAGATTTGTGGATGATGGAGATGGCATGGGGATAGTAGACATATTGAGAGATGGCCTGGTAGGGACTGGTCCTGAGGATCAGTCTTTTTCAGCTCATTTATTGACATTTGAGACAAAGAAATCAAGAATGCGTGTATCAAATTTGTGGCTCTGAAATTTACTGTGGTTTTGATTTTCTGGAAAATAATAATAAAGTTCTGAATGACCTTATGCATTAGAAAAAACAAGCCTATCATAATTAGGGTTGAAACTTAATAAGAAAATGTGCTTATAAAGACCCAAGCCCAAGACTACAAATATAGGATGGGTAAGAGTGTAAGAGAAAACATCTGAGGGTTAGAACTGACCACAAGTAGAATGTGAGTTAGGAACATACTGTGGTTATGTAAAAACCAACACCATTCTAAGATGGAGTAATTAACTCTTTAATTCAATTTTTTTAGAAGACTATTACTGAGCATCTACTATGTATTTTCTTGTCTTTCCATAGTCATTTATCCTTCATTAGTCAGAATGATACTTTTGGAAACTGAGAAGGAAATGCGAAAAAAAAGATGCTGTCTGAGTCACATAATCTAAGGTATACTGGAGAGGACTTATAAAACCAAGCTGTATACTTAAAGGTTTATATATTACCTGATTTAAATTCTACCCACATTTCTAGCCTCCATTTCACTATATACCTTTCATGTCTCTTATCTCCATCTAAAATGAATTGCTTTTTCTTTCTCCACACATGCCCTAATTTTTCTCCTTTAATTGTTGGTTCACGAATTCACTCACTCTACCGTTATTGAGCACCAACCATACTGGGCTGTTGGAAAAGTCATGACGTATTTTTCTGACAACCCAATATAAAATCAGACATTGTACTGGGATATTAACAACACCAAGATGAGTAAGACATGATCTTTTCCTTCATGCAATTCATGTTTAAGTGCATGAGAGAAATAAACAAGTTTTTCTGACCCAGCATGATAAAGGCCCTAAAGAAATTGTGTAAGGTTCATCATGGACCTAGGTGAGAGTGAGATCTCTTCTGGTTTTTGCCTCATTTATTTACTATGCCCTCTATTTAATTTAGTTCTATCTATTTAATTCTTTCTGTCCTCCCTCCTTTCTTTCTCTTTTTCTTTTTTTCTCTACCTGGTGAACTTACCCTCATGGTTCCACCAAATTGCCTCTTCTGCAATGCCTTCCCTGATATTTCCAGGCAGAATTAATAGCTGCTTTGTGTGTGCTCCCATAGTACACTGTTTGTACTGCTATCAGGCTCTGGTTTAATTCTGCCTTGTATTACCTTGATTTGTTTACAAGTCTGTCTCCTTTCCTTGACTGAACTCCTTGAAAGTAGGGACCTTGACTTATTTGTTTTCCCTATAGCACCTAGAAGAGTGCCTGGCACCTATTTGAAAAATATATTTATTAAATATGAAGTGAGAGGCCCAGAGGTGGTGGGGTCTGGGACCAGGTCTCTGGGACAGAATATGCGTGCTGGTACAGTGAGTAGGAAGGGTATAACCAACCTTTCTTCATTGAGCAGACATCCCAATAGCTTGGTAAAGGAACAATAGGTAGTTGCTTTCCCTACAACTATAAGGATTTAATTTTGTTGTATTGGGTATGGAGGCTGAATTGCTCAGGCCCACAGGGGTTACAAAATGATGGTTTTTGTGAGTCCAAGATTATATAGACTATAAAGGATTTAAGTTTTCTAAATTATTTTCTAGTTTTTTTAAATAAAGAGATTTTTGTCCATAACTTTAGGTAAAAAAGTAAGGATCTTTTCAAAAAGTAGAAAATATTTCAGCACTGGGACCTCATTCTTCCGCTGTAATAGTCTTAGGAAGAATAGGGCCTCCTCTCTTTAGATAGGACAAGGGCTTATCAAATTAATAGAGTCCCTAATGACTTCTACTTTTTAAAAAAGTTGAATCGCGATATTACTTGTATACCACAAAATTCACCATTTTGAAATGTGCAGTTCAGTGGATTTTAGTATTTTTACCAAGTTGTGCAACTATTGTCACTATCTAACATTTTTATCATTTCAGAAAGAAAACTTACATTCAGTAGCTGTCATTCCCTAATCTCTTCTCCTTCTGCGTCTGGAACTGCTAGTCTACTTTCCGACTCTATGATTTTGCCTTTTCTGGACATACCTTATAAATGGAACTATATAACATATGGCATTTCATCTCTGACTTCTTTCACTTAGCATGTATTTAAGATTCAGCTATGTTATAAGATGGATCATACATAATTATTATTATTTTTTAATGATAGCATGCACATGCATGATAGAGAAAGAGAGATAGAGAGAAGCACCCTTGTCAGGGATCATCATGCTGCGATCCCCTTTCCTTAACCCTTTAGCTCCTCATGATCTTGGGTGCCCACATGTGTGCCTGAGGTGTTTTTAAGCCATCTTGAGGGTAGTAGGCCATATGAGGGTAGTAGGCCATATAGTGATGTGGTAGACTCGATCACTTGCAGCCTTCCAGGGCACTTGTTTGACTGCTGTGACATTGTGGCTGGGCCACATTATTCATTTTTTATGGCTTCTTAATATTCCATTAAATGGATATACCACATTTTGTGTATCTGTTCATTAGTTGTTGGACATTTAGGTTGTTTCTTCTCTTTGGTTATTATGCATAATGCTTCTATGAACCTTGGTGAAAAAATTTTTTGTGATCCTAATTGTTATTTAAATCCAGCCCAATTGGATCATTTTCATCAATCTTTGATCCCTGTAGTTTTTTTTTTTTTTTTTTTTTTTTAATCCCTGTTTTTGAAGCTTCTTGGGAGTACAAAGAGTAGAAGGGTGCTAGAAAAAGCACATTAAGGCAAGAAGAGGTAGTAGGTTCTGCATAACACAAAGTTACTGGGTACCTGGAGGTGACAAAGAATTCCTAAGAGAAGAAGAGAAGTGAAATAGGGCTGAGAAAAGATAGAAGTCAGACTTCACTACAGCTTCCATGGGATTAGACTCTTCAAAAAGGACTCAGAGAAAAGTAGGGAGAGGCTATGTAAAACAGCATGGTGGAATGGGAGGGGCATCAAATTAGGAGTCAGGACATGTGTGTCCTAGCCCCTCTTAGTTGGCTTTTTGACTGATATAATCTTGGCAAATTATTTCCTTTAAGTTTATGGCTTCATCTATGAACTGAATACAGTAAAATTATTCACTATGATATCACTGATGTGATATATATACATTTGGATATATAACACACATGTGAGTCAATCTAAGCAAAAACCTTATGTGTGAATCTTCCTATTACTGAAGTGACCCTTGAAGATAATGGTCAGAGTAATTCATCACCTGAGGGGGGTCTCCCTATTAGAAATATTTTCATTATCAGTTAGTTTGCTCAAAGGGACTCCGACTGGTCCGTAATCTATGTCTTTTCCTTTCCAGACAAATGTGAGAAGGATTTCTCTCTCTCTCTTGCAGACCTAGAAGGCCTATTAGGAAGGTTTGGGATTTGAGAGGGTCAGGAATTTGAGTGAGTTGGACACTAGAGTTTCCCTGGGGCCCTAAGGATTAGTAGATAAGTTATGGGCTGATTTGTTTGTTTATTGTTTTTTTTTTTCTTTGAGAGAGAGAGAGAGAGAGAGAGAGAGAGGCATTGCCAACTAGGTCATCATGCTAGGATCCACCACCATTTTCACCTGTCCCAGATCATGGGCACATGTATGCTTTGCTTACCTGGGGAGGTCTCTGAAATTAAACCTGGAACCTTCACACGTAGTTTAGGCTCTCAGAGCATTACATTACCTCTGTGCTAGCATCTGGTCTCTGGTTGAGATTTTGTTAAGGCTCTTATCCATTTCGAAAACTCCACTGTGGACCATAGAGTTTTTATAGAGCTTTTCCTTAGTTTTTATGAAAAGGTAGAGGAAGTGATGAAATGTCACAAGTGATGTTTGAGCCAGTGCCAGAGGTCTTCTGGGAGCAGAGAAGAGGAGATTGACTGGATGTGTAATAAGGACAGTGTAGCATTGCTTGAATTGCTAATACTTTATTAATTAACTAATTTAATCTTCATTAGAAGCCTGCCTATCAAGTAGTTTCTGCAGAGGAGAAAATACAAGTGGTAAGAAGTTAAATCCCTAACCTAGATATAAAACTAGAAAGGATGGTGTCATGAATCATCCCTACTCAGCCTGATTTATATATATATATATACATATATATATATAAGTCCAGGCTTCCAATCAGATGGTCTGGTGGTCATCACTCTGTTGCCTTTGAAAAAGAGTGATATGTTATTTTGGGAATTACCTAGCCTGTTTTGGACAACTATTGAGACTTGTCTCTACCTTTGTGTTGAGCTGATGAGACCAGTTCATGACATAATAAGATCTGAAGACTACGAGTAACTGGATAATAGCCCTAGTAGTTTTAGTCCCCATTTCCTGTCCAGTGTAAGACCTGTAGGAAGGAGGTGAGAGAAAAAGTGAGAGAAGAAGAAAGGAGAGTGGGGGTGGGTGGAAATGACATCAAGCAAGAATGTGCCACTCAGAGGGAGTAAATTTTCCACTTGGATCTGTGTGGAAACCTGATCCTGCTTCTATTTTTGGTCTCCTTCTCCAACAACCTTTCACCAGATTGGAATTTTTCTGCACCTGTAACACATTTTTAATGTAATAAGTCTAGGAGAAACCAGGTATTATATCATGCTGAGGCCTGTGCTGTGTTTCTAGGGGCAAAGGTAGCCCAGACCCCAGTTTATCCCTATAGAGGATTAGTGTATTAGTCACCCTGTAAAACCTCAATTTATTATGATTTTTTAAATGTTTCTTTTAGCACTTGCTTATAAAATGTGAAGAGCCATGAATGTGTCTGTGTACCCTGCCCCCACCTCCTTCACACATGTACATACTCTCTATCAATTTCTTATGAACCCAAATTCTGTAAAATCAAATCCAGAGATATTGGCTTTGACCAATTAGCTTACCTTTGCCATGTTGGACTTTGTTCTGGTTTGGGCTAGTTCAAATTATAAAAAATTTATATTATTGCACTAGTCACTCCTCACTGGGGAATAAAAGTAACTTAGAAAGTAAGTTAGCTATTTAGGGTGACTGAATGACTCCTGAGATTGAGGTTTGGAGTTGGCTTCTTTGTGTGTGAATACGCCCTTCCATCCCTGTTTCTCCAGATTGGTTGTCTTGTGGATACACACCATTGGTTGCATAGGGGACAATGGAGAAGTTTCTGCCAAGTTTTCTACCTCACTGGAGAGTTCTAGACGATACATTCCCATCACTTGGAAGAAAGAAAGACAGGTAGAAAGATAAACAACTTGAAGACCATGTTCATATAAGAATATATAAGGCAGTGCGGCAGCAGGGAGAGAGTGCAGGATTTAGGAGGAGCAGACATGGGTTTATTTTCTGTTCTGCCACCCAAGCTAAGAGTCTGAATCTATGCTGCCTGGATTTTGAATTGGGGGGCTATTCAATGTTCAGGTGCTTCTTTCATTCTTTGTTTTATCTCCTGTCATTCACCCACTAAAATCCTAACTTCCACCTTAACATGTGATATAACGTAGCAAAAAAGAAGCCTGCTTCCAATCAGATTTGAGTCAAAGTCTTAGTTCTACAATTTTCTAGCTGTGTGCTCCAGAGGTCAATCCAGGTTTTGTGTGGCCTGAAGCTAATACAGTTTCTGGTGCCTTCTTTAAGGGGAAAAAAAAAATATCTCACAAAAATTATGAATACAAATTGCTAGGGTCCCTGAAAGAGCCTTGGAAGGGGTTTATGCAAACAGCAAAGTGACGCTGAAGCTTTATTAGTTTCACTAAAGCGGCCTCTGGGTGTAGTTCTTTGTTATTTAAACTCTTTGAGCCTCAGTTATTTCATTTCTAAAATAAATTTAATCATGCCTACCTGTTATGGGAATATTCTGAGGACTAAGCAAGAATATATATGCATAAAAGTATTTTGGTTCAAAGGGCTACATATTTATTTATTGTAGGCTATCTATCTACCTGTCTATCCATCCATTTATCTATACATATAGTTGAGAACTATATCATTATTGCAGTTCATTCAGATATTGGCTTAATGCTTATTTATAGTATCTATACATTCCCTACTCAATCATTTATCTCAATATTTCCTCACTGATTCATTGGTCAGGGCATTTTTAGGGATCTCACTCTTAGTATTACTTGATGAATTCCAGATCTGGAGAGTGATGACTAATAATGAGCTTCTGCATCTTTCCTATGTGTGAACATAAGTAATGACCTGCTTCTGGACCCTTTCCATTCCATCACTGCATATATAAATAGTGCTTGGCATATGCACTAGATCCTCAGTACTAGTAATTGAAACTTCAAATATACCTGGAAACTAAAACCAAACCAAACCAAAACAAAAAACAAACTACATACCTGGATGGTTATTAGTAAAATGTCTAAGGCTGTTGGCTCTTCAGGCGTTGATAAAGACTTTCTCTGACTTTGCAGCTTTGAGATCTGCATCCATTTACCATTAAAAAATGAATAAAGCATCTCTACTTCTCTGATGGTGACTATGAGTATGTTTCCATGTCGATCTTTAATGGGTTCATAGTAAACTCTTCCCAAGTTGTGTGTTCCAAGTAAATTCTAGAAACAAATAGATTGCTCACAGCTTAGATGATAATGCACAAAGCAACACAATTGTAGCAAAAGATCCTGCAAATAATTATCTGATTTCTGAGAAACTGTTTTTGGTTGGTTTGTTTTTGCAGAGCTAAACCTAGACAATGTGACATCATAGAAACATACTTAATAGAAGGGCAAAGAAAATGTCATCACTATGAGCCTACAAAGGTAAGAGATACAAGAAATATGTTTTTTAAAGCAAATTCAATATCCATAAATATTTTGTACCTTTATAGATACACTAGCACAAAAACCTCGGTTACCAGCACTTGAAGGGAATCCCAGATGTTTTAAAGAAAAATGCCTGATATTTCAAGTATGCTACTTGTGAAATTTTCAAGAGATCTACAGTAAGCTAGTATGAGGTGGGGTTTTTTAAAATGAAGAAGTGAATTGACAATGTAGCACATTGTACAGGTCCCCGAATGACTACGCATTCCCTTCAAGATACTTTAATTGAGAGATTGGCCTCATTTGATTTACGTATATTTCAGGGAACTCTATTTATTTAAATGTTTGTTAAAATTGCTTATAAACTAGGTAAAACTAAGGCAGATGATACTTTTAGAAAGGTGGGAAGGGAAGGGCACCGCATTACTTGTGAAGGGGCCCAAGTAGTGTTACTAAATAAACAGGAGTTTTACAAATATGTAGGATTTGAAGATTTCTAACCTAGAGCACTGGATGAACAGGATAAAGTCCCCTCTTGTTTAAATGTCCATGATTTCTGAAAATTATAAATCATCCCAGAGCTCCTAGCTGTTATTTTTGTGAGCTCACATAAATGATGACGAGATTACCTGTTAGCATGAGAGCAAAGTAGAACTGGAATTTGTAAAAGTGACAAGGTTGACCTAAAGATGAATGAGCCAGCTGGTCAGCATCCACATCTACAAAAACACTGGAATGTTCTCTCAGGTAGGGACTGTATCTGAAACTCCTATTCTTCCTCACAAAGGCGAGACACATATTAAGTAAAGAATTTCATAAATAATTACTGACATTTTATAAAAATCCTTTTGGCAAGGTTATTATTTTTTAAAAAATGTCCTAATAACTGACAAATTTCTTCTTTCCAATAATTGACTTCTAAGTCATAGAGAAGTAGCTTGGTAAGGCATTCAGTATAGTTCTACATATTCATATAGTTTTGGTTTTGTTTTAATTTTTTTAAGACAACATCTTTCTATGTTGTGATTTTCCTGATTTAACCTCCTGTAGTTGGAATCTCTGGGACTATAAGTGTGCATCACAGAGCAGTGTCTGTTTTTTGTTTGTTTGTTTTTGTTTTTGTTTTCTTTTTTTTTTGGTGGACTGGGAATTGAACCCAGGCCTCCCATGTGACTTCAGTCTGCTGAGTAGTAGTGTCAACCAGTATGCTACTATAGTTGGGCCTTGTACTATTTTTAATTTTATAAAGTTTGTTGCTAATAAGCAGTGTGATGCTGGTAAACTGATGAGAGAGAGAAAGAGAGGGAGAGAGAGAGAAATAGAGAGATAAAAGAAAACCCAAAAGGCCTGATGTATAGCAGATGCCGATTTCTGTGGTATAATTGCTTCTGGTACAGCTGACTTCAAGCTGTCCAGGGCTCAACAACCGGCTTTCAAAAGTTTTGGATCTTTAACAGTTGGCTTTCCTGAGTTAGTACAAGCTGGCTCCAGCCTACCACTGCTATTAAGATTTTACTTACACTGGCGAGTTTCAGGGCTGGCTATTTATTAATTGCTGAACCTCTTGAAAAATAATTTACCCTTTCTGGTCCTAAGTTTCATCATCTCAACTTAAGGGTTCTTACAGTTCAGACATTCCTAATGCTAATCCTTATGTCATAGAATGATTTGAAGGATTAAATCAAGCAACATATCAAAAGGTGTTTTGTAAATTTTCAAGCTTGATGCAATATAGGTCATGGGCTTTCTTTATTGCTCTAATTGGAATTATAGCCTCCTGGCTTACAAATACTCATTTTCATGACCCAGCC